TTGCCTGCAGGCAAACTCCATGAGCACTTCTGTGGCTTCGTGCAAATCACTGAGCAGGCTTGGGAAGGGGAAGGGGGATTTGGAGAGGCAGAGGAAGGAGAGGGAGGGTAAGAACACTTAGTGGTTTCACCTGCCAACCCTCTCAGTGGCCAAATTTACTCAGTGACCATCCTCTTGGCCCGGCCCCTCCCCGTTTCCGGAAACTGGTCCCTCCAACCCCAGCCATCTTCCAATATGGTTTCCCAGGAGCCTCCATGTTCTTACCAGCCCTGCTCCTCTGCCCACAGCTGACTGGTCCAGACACAGGCTCATGAGCTGAATCTTGGCCTTGCCGAAGGGTGTGGTCAGTCTCTCACTAAAGTGAAAGATGTTAAATGTTTCTGATCTTGAGGGAAACACTCCTCTGCAGGGAGAGAGGAATAAGGCCGACGAGCTATCATGGCACAGGATGCCCCGGCTCAGTGCATGGCCCACAGGGAGGGCAGGCAAGTGGGGCTGTTACGTTGGCTGTTGTCACGATCTCCTGAAGTTAAGGCATAGGCTTAGCACAAATGCTCCAAATGAGACAAACATAGAAAAGAGTTCAAAAAGGTACGTTCGCTGATGGAATATGGTTGTGTACATGTGCTGCGTAGATTTAACAAAATGCATCAGACACTAAGGAAAAAACATCTTTGTGGCCCAAAGCTGATCAGCATGGAAGCGGCAAACCCTGCCTCAGTGCCCCAGAACTTTGGTTCCCAGCTGTGCCAGCGTCTCAACTACCTGCTGGCCACCTCTCTGTTCTCGGAAGCAGCTAAGGCTGCTACCAGCTGCTTCCCTCCCTGGCCTGGTTCAAGACGTAGACGCAGACCTGGCTTACTAGCGCTGTGGGAATCCAGGAGCTGTCTCTGCTGTTGCATCGGGTGACAAGAAGCGAGGAGGTGCCAACAGTGTCCCGCAGTGCCTCGTGCTCCCTTGGATTTAGCTGTGTCCAAGACCCAGTGCTGCAGAGGAAGGGTAAGTCTGTGGTTCTCGGGCACACTCCTAGTGACCACTAGGTGGGTGGGGGGATGGGATGGTGGTGGGCCCATTGGCACAGGAGAAAGCGGAGCCTCCTGCTTTGACCAGAAGGGATGGGGCAGGGGAAGGAGAAAGTACGATGGCAGGATCCTAAAACCCAACGAGCCTGGCCGCAGAGCTCATTCCTTGGTGTGTGGGAGGACGTACTGTGTGCTTCCGACACGCTCAGGTCCTTGGCTTTCCCAGCACTGTGTTGGCCAGGTTACCTCTGTGGTTTTCTTCCCTCCTAGATTTCTTGGTCCAGCATCCTATTCTGTACACATGCCTCAAACTCTGCTGGAGCCTCATTCTCACCATGAGGCATGTCTGTCCCAATTTGATGACCGTCCTGAAATTCAGCCCAAATCAATACCTTGGGGGACTTCTCAGAGTGTTTCGAAGAACCTCTTCCCACAAACAGCCACCAGGTAAGATGTCCCAGACCCCTGTTCCCTGAAGTGGACACCAGCAGGCAACCACAGCCCCCAACCCGTCTACCCACCAGCTGAGCCAGCTGCTCACCCAGACCCCCACCCAGACCCCTACCCTAAGAAGACCCCTGGCCTGAGAGTGGTGGGCAAGTCTTTAAGAAGATGAAGCCGGCTTCCAAATCTAAAACTACCTTTATTTGGGGTTGGCTCAACATAAGACGCCATCATCAATCAGTGGAATTATAAAACTGTACAGGAGGTACAAAAATAGGCCATTTAACTTATATAATTACCCTCACATCATCGAGCTTTAAAAATACACATAAAAATTGTACAATCTGGCAATTTATAAAATATAAAGCTAAAAAGAGGATTTTAGGTTCCACAAAGAGGACTGTATCACGCAATTAACACATACACATTAAACAATGAACCATCCAGAGAAGACGCAATGGCACAGAATATTTAAAAAAAAAAAAATCACCTAAAAATTAACATTGACCACGACCAAATTATTCACCCTTTACTGCTAAAACTCCTGTAAGGCATCCATCCCATGGAAGAATACAGTATAACTTTTCCTTTTCCAGTTTTAAAATGGCCAGGGGTGTTGTCCAAAACAAATCTGATGTGCTTTAAGCAAGTGCATTTGTAACTGGATATACTTCAGAGTAAAAATTAAATAAATATAAATAGGTTAAATAAATAGGTTACTGCAAAAAGAACACTACATAGAGTCTGCATCTGAGAATGCCACAGAGTTGACTGGTAATGCTTTCTAGGTAAGTGGGGGCTCCCCCATCACAGCTTTCGGGATACTGAAAAGGAATACTGTACCCACCAAACACAGAGCACAGGGTGAGGTGAGGGGTGGGGACTTTGGCCGGAGTCATTGATTAAGGCTGCTCCAGTGGGAGGCTCGTTGATGATGGTTCTTTGTGGTTTTCCAGTGAATACAGAAAAGATTTGTGCTGCTACGAAAATCAGAACTGGCGTTACTCATGAGAAATCACTGTTTCATTAAGAAAATACAGGAAGAGTAGACACTCGGGTTTAAAAGATAACGGTCTGACCTTGGAAGGCAGAATTTTGGCTTATCTAGACAGGACACCTGATGACCTCTGAAAGGCCGAGGCAGGGTCATACTCAACTAAAAGGACCTCTCCACAATGGCGAAGGAACAGCCAAGGAAAAGAAACGCTGGGAAATACGAAGAAAAGGGATTTCAGAAGCGAGCAGAGAGGAAGCTAAAGAGAATGTCAAGGGGCTCTTTACAGGTGCACTGTGCTCTCTCTTCCAGCTCCTCCGGGCACAGAAGGCTGTGGAAGCAGAAGCGGCCCACCTCCTGCCAGGATCTCAAGGCTGAGGATCCAGTGAACAGAGATGTGGAATGGGGACAGTCTTGGGAAATCCAAAGCTGGCCAGAGTCCAAATTCTGAAGAGACAGTGGCAAGAGGATAAAGCCCTATGACCAAATGCCTCCCACGTCTGCAAGAGAGGTCAGATCAGCAACCAACTCATCTCTTTTCCTACAGTGAGAAAGAACTGCAAAGATACATGAGTCACGTTCACAGAAAACCTTACCAAAAGGATCAGAGTTGTCTTCGATAAGGGCCTTTCTTCTAGAGTTGGTGGGAAGAAAATACTTTGCTGGACCCACTAACCTGTGGACCTTCCAATGTAATATATGTAACAGGTCAGAGTGATGTCTCACTGGAAAGAACCTGTGACGATTACTGCACTGAGCCTGATGGGCGAAGGGAGGACACCTCTGCACCGAGTATATACGTCAGCAACTAGACGGTTAGGGACTTATCAAGCGACACCAACGATTCCCAAAAGTGCAAATGCTCTGATGTCTAGTGACATGTGGCTCTTTCTAAACTAGAAGGTAAAAAGACTCAAGAAGCAACAAGAGGAATTCTGTTGGGTGTGCCAAAGTCAGATTCAATACAAGGTTCAACACAAGATTTAAATAAATTATAGCCTCCTCGGGATTCCTGAGATAAGACTAAATTCTATTGTAAAAACAAAGTGTACTTCTAAGTTAAACAGCCTTCCAGGAATTATACTAAAGATCAAATAGCTCAGCTGCAACAGGATGCACAAGGCTACAGAACCCTGTTCTAGCAAAAGATAGATGCCTTCCACTGCCTGAGTACAGTAGGAAACTCAAGTTCTAGAGACGAGAATGAGGACACCTGGGGTGTTTTCATACCAAGTGCCCACACAAGACCTCGTCAAGCCACTTGAAGGACTGACAAGTGACTGGGTTCCTAAAGGTGACAAAGAGATGGACAGAAAGCAACCTAATCAGATGTGATGGGTCCTGGGACACAGGTGGCTTTAAGACAGAAGAGGTGTAAACACCAAAAGCACGCCCTTCCCCACCCCCTCGGCTTTCGCTAGTATTTATTGTCTCTCTCGCTATAGGTGCTTATGAAGGCAGAAGCTTTGCCTGTCTAGTCTACCTCTAGCACTCAGCATCCCACCTAGCTCCTATGGTAAGTGCTCAGGTACGATATGATGAATAAATGAGTATGAGAAAGTCAGATGGTTAGAAACAAATATACGAGTTGGAAAAGGCATTTTAAAAAAAAGTTGTCCAGGTAAATTGGGCCAAAACACAGAGATGACAAGTACTGGGCAGCTACAAATGATCTGGCTACTCCCCAAAGGGGAATATTCAGCAGTGACAACGAGGCAGTAGCCCTGGCAGCACGGAAAGGTGACCGTCCTGTGAAGTCACTCATGGCACCTTCTCTACCTCTGACTGTCCCTCGGGCTATTCTCACTCAGGCACGGTGGCAAAGTGACCCGCAGAGCCACATGGAGAACGGGGCTGGCACGGGCCAATCAGGGCGAGGAGGAGAACCCATCTGGCCGTGTTCCTGAGAAATGGACAGCGTGGTACAGGACGCCACGAGGCCAACCAAGGATGCCGAGGCTCCAAGGTCCAAATGAGGTAACTGATGAGGTTTAAAGATGTAGGATAACATTAATTGAAGGAAAAAAGTGACTTCAGGCATTATGAAAGGAAGAGAACTGAATTCTACGAAGGCAGAACAAGAGCTTTTGAGAAACGGCCCTCGTATACACACACCACCAGAAAACCCCTCACACGAAGAAACAGTGATTTCTCTGTCAGTTTCTAAATTCGACAGTAATATTCTTACTCCCGAGTGGAGTCTCAGCTCACCAGGGCTGACCCGCAATGAGCCGCTCGCCCAGCTGGAGAAAGTACACAGAAGCTGTTTCCTTCCATTACCCTGATTGCATTTAACCCCTAAGGCTCTCGGTATAAAAAGAACAGAGGAATTTTTGGTTGAAACTAAAGTTAAAATTGTATTTTAGGAAAAAAATAACATGGTATTGACATAATTTAGAGAACATTACTTAGAAGTTGTTTAACACATGTGTATAGCGTTGCTATAACGTTTTACTCTTCAGGATGAGAGAATGTTCTAAATACGAACACTCTACCTGGAGGGCATGGGGTTTGGTACCACACACAAGAGAAGATGGATTACACATCTCGCATTTCTTCTTCATGAGTAAGCTTCCAGTTAAATTTAGCTTACTTGTGCTAATATAGCATTCTACAGTATGATCAAAATATAAAGTTATTAAAATCTGCCAGGAGAAACAAAATCCTGCCCACAAAGTATGTGGTGACCTGGCCTTAGCTCCCAAGCCCCTGGCCTGTCCTGCTGGCCCCAGGGACAGAGGAGCCTCATCGCCTACCTGCTGGGCCAAGGCTCTCCCGCGGTGGCCCTTGTGTCCCATTGGCCTGCTCCCGCTCCCGTCCGGCAGGCCTGTCCTTGCCTGGGTCTTAGGTGCTCCCCTCGATGGCCAGAGAGTGGATCACTTCTTGCCCCCAAACACTCCTAAACATCCCAAATGGGTCAGGGCACAAAGCCACCAAAGCCATTGTCCAGGCCACCGGTGCCCTGGGCCGCGGTTGCCTCAGAACAGAGCGGCCTCTTCGTTTCCGAGAGCCACAGCCACGGCCTCACCTTCCAGCGTGCAAGGCTGATCCGTCCTCACTGCCCCCGCGTGCTCGAGGCTGTCACTGCCCCTGAGGAGACGCAGGTTACAGTGACCTGGACATTTGGGTGCTCTTGCGATCGGTGATTAGTGATCTCCGATCCCTAGGGGCGACACCTTCAGAACGCCCTCCTCCTCCTTGGCACTCCTCACCTCTTGAGCCCTATTTCTTGCAGAGGCTGCACTTAGTGCACCTCAGCCTGCAAGTCGAGAGAGAGGTGCTCCTGGTCCCAACATGCTGGCAAACTTAGGATTTCTTCCATTCTTTCCCTTAAAGGCCTTTGGGCTGATATCAAACAAGAAGTTTAAAGAGAAACGTAAGCCCGAAGCAAGTTTATCCACGAGGAGGCAGAGAATGCTCCTCTCGCTACCTCTGGGATGGGCCGCTCTTCGCGGACGTTCCCTGATGGTAAAGCTTTCGTGGCCGACGATCGTGCCAGCTTCCTGCAGGTCAGGAGAGATGACCTCTCCCGCTCCCCGGGCTCAGCACCCTCCTCTGCTGGCTGCAGAGCAGGCAGCTCAAGGCACTGGGTTTGGGAGCCTGGTCTTCCTGCGAGGCGGGGAGGTGTCAGGCTCTGGCTTGTAAGACCAGGCCCTCAGTCACAGCTGGAGCCACCAGAATGGAGGCTGCCATGGCTCAGAGGGCGTCTGGAGTCACTGGGGGCTGAGGCTCCGGGGGCGGGTGGAAGTAGTAGGGTTGGAAGAGCCTCTCGTGGCTGCACAGCTCCATGGCCCGGTAGGTGTGTGAGAGCAGATGGGGGAAGCGGGATGTGAAGTAGCGCACGAAGTCATCGGGGAGGGAGCCCAGGGTCTCCCGCACCTCTGCGGGGAGCTCCCGGTAGTGGTGCTTCTGCAAACAAGGCAGACACAGACACACAGGACTGTCAGTTAGAGAGCCCACGAAACGCTGGAAAAGATCCTTTTATTATTCAAGGAAGACAGAATGTTAGTTGGTTCTCTGTAAAGAAAAGGGAAAAGGTTTGAGTGTCCAACAATCCATCCTGCTCGCCTTGCCTGCTTCCCCTTGCTCAGCAGGAGGCCTCAGAGCTGGGCGAGGCCCAGCATGGGGACAGCAGGGAGGAGCTGCCCTGCTCCAGTGGCTGGTCAGGCCTCCTGGGGCAGTTGGGACCTAGTGAGATTCCTGGCAGCCTCAAGTGGAATAAAGTCGCCTAGAACTGAAGTGTCTGTCCCAATGGGCTTGGAGGACTTGTCTGGGCCTGGGCTCAGTGACAGCACAGGCCAAGAGCACCTCAGATGCCTCCAGAGAACAAGTTGGGGACCCTGCCTTGAGGCCCTGGAGATCAGGCCCCGTGTGGGAAGGTGCCCATAGGGGCCCATTGGAGAGTTTATACGGTGCTGTATCAGGCAGGTAGAGGGCACCACACAAGTCAGCAGAGACCATAAAGGACGCCGGCATCAGAGAGCCTGCTTCCCAGCTAATACCCCATCTCAATGTCCCTGAAGAGAGAACCCGTGTAAGGGAAGAAACAGTCCCTGCTTTGTCAAGTCGGCGAAGGCCTCCCAGCCTGTGCGAGGTCAGCATGCCGGGATGGATGAAGGGACCGGAGAGAACGGATGCGCGGAGGATGGCTGTGCTGCAGCCGCCCGGCCCTGCCCGGGTTCCCACCCCTCACCTTATTTCTCATGGCTCGGAGGAGATCTCTGACAGAGCCGCCTTTATAGGTTCTGAATTTACGCAGATCTGAGGGGAGAAAAGGGATGCGATGGAACAGGCACATTTCAAAAGAAAACAATTGCTGGGGCTCCTGGGGATTAAGCGATCGACTGAAATGCAATGAAACTCCACACTCAGAGTTGGCGGGAGCATGTCCCCCAGGTCGAACCCCAGGGCAGTGTTAGTTGGCGTCCTGCTGCCTGATCGCACCCATGACCGGAAATAACCACCTAGAGCACGCGCTTACCACTGACCTGTCTCTCTAAGAGACAAAAATGAAACACACATTGGTGTAATGGTCTGATCGGTACCCAACCCACAGAGGACACACCCACAGAGAGCCTCAACCCCATCAGTGGTATTTGGAGCCTGAACAGCCTGGAGCTGCCATTTCCACATTTGTTTCTTAGAAATAGCTGCAACTTTTGAGACGTTTCTGCCAACATTTACTCCCAGGGACTTCTGTGCGGTCACCTGTCTGGAGAGGGACGGTGATGTTCTCCCTCCAGTCCATCTTCACCACGGCTCTCCCGCCTCTCTCCAGCTGCTTCACGATCGGGCCATCCAGGGATTCCTTCTCTATGCGGTCACTCACGTCCTGTGAGGAAAACAAGGGCCACGGATGACGGTCAGCGTGGAGTGACACTGAGAACCGAAGGACTGATCCGAAGCGACGGCAGAGTGGCCGCTGCTCCGGGAGTCCAGGCCTGGGCTGCGGTCTGTGAGCACCGTGCCTTCCCCACCAATCTCTTACCTTTTCCCCTAGGAGCAGCTGTGTCTGTTGCTGGCTAGGGAGCAGCCCACGGACCATCCTCCACAACAGACAGGTGTCACAAACGCTCACTCGCCTCACCTGCATCTCACACGGGCGCACGCACACACTCCATGCCACACAGAGCCATGTGTGCAATCTGTTTCAGTCAGCGAACAACAACAAAAACTCAATTTTGATTTGCATCCTATGGCTTCTGTCTACCCACTGAAACAGGATGTGTTCAAATCCATAACTGGTGGAAGGTCATCAGTCCTCATTTGAACGTTGGAAAAGACAGATGAAGCCAAGCCTTTCAGACGAGGAAACCCGGTGACAAAAGTATGGGTTCCAGAGGCTCCCGTCCTGGATTCAAACCCAGACCACATTTGTGGGACACACCCCAAGCGATGGCCTCTCTGAGCCCCCACCAGGAACACAGGCCCATCGACAGCTGAAGACATGGAGTGATGAGCCCCACATACGTTAACGCCGAGCAGCCACATGTGGCCCATAGTCTCTTCTTTCTTGATTAAGATGAAGCCTGACTGGCTGACCCTCTAAGTCTTGAAGGGACTAGATTGTCAACCCAGGGACACACAGTTCTGAGCTGCAAAGCCAGTACAAGCTGGTCAATACAGATGGAAGCCAGACGTGTTCACAGACACAGGAGTTGAAACCATGACAAGTCTCAATCCTAACCCGTGGTAGGTGAAGGTCCCTTTGTGTGAGCTTTATTCCTGTTCTACATCTTGTCATCGTCAAAGTGACCTGGCTAGTTTTCAGAAGTCCCTTAGAGGCCTCAGACCTCAGAATTTTAATGTGATGTCCTGTAGAACACACTGATCAGTCCTGATGTTACACATACCCATGGCCGCCATGGAAAATAGCATTAAACCTTCCCTTCCCAATCCATCTAAAGAGTCACGAAGCATTTGTCATGTGACAGGCAGTATCTCAGGCCATGGGGACACAAAAATGAACCCAGAAATCAAATGCTCCTGTCCCCAAGGAACTTACATTCTGGGGGCTTCACTATGGCCCAGCTCCTAATCAAGACTCCAGGACAATGAGACCGTGCCTTTAAATCCAAGCTCCACTCTAAATCCAAGCTCCACTCTGGCCCAGACCCAGGAGGAAAAGAACTGCCCCACTTGCCTGCCTTTCAGAGCCAGCGTGCCAGGCGGGCTGCGTTTGAGTGAGTTAAGCTGAACTCATACTGGCAAAGACTCTGAGAAACACATCACCTTTCCCCAAAGTCACGTGGCAGTATCACGAAGCCTTAAAGCAGATAAACTGCTAAAGGAGTTCATATCTACTGATCCCATAATTTAACCTCTCAGAATCTACCTTAAGCAAAAAGAGATCTGAGCAAAGATTGAGTACGAGATGATGGAAAAAAATCCAGTATAAGAAAATGTTTAAATTTATGAAATTTGAATGAAATTTTGATGCCTGAGTTTTGCTTCAAAATAATCTGGAGTGGAGAGGGTGGAGAGAGAGCAGAGGCTGAGTTAATAATTACTGAAGCTGGCTGATGGCTACATGGGAGTGCGTTACAGCATTCCCTCTACTTTTGTGTGTATTTGAAAGTTCTCGTAACATAAAGTTTTTAAATTATGGCACATCCAAATGATAGATTGCTATAATCATTAAAATTTTAGAACTTTGACATGGAAAAATATCGAAAATATTATACACATGTAATATTTAAAATATTAAAGTTAAAAAAAGCAAAATACAAAATTGTCTCTACAGTTTGATCCTAATCACACTTATTTTATGAAGAAAATCTATTAAAACGCTAGCCTTGACTACCTCTTGGTTACGGGATTATGGATCATTCGTTTTATTCTTTATCCTTTGCCATCTTTTCAAAATCTGGAAAAAGTGAGAGATTTTTGGTAAAACAAACATGTCTACCTGAAAGAACTGGAGCTGCTTCTCGAGGCTCCAGAAGAACGGGTGTTTAAGCACGTGCTTCGCCGAGGGGCGCTTCTGAGGGTCCATCGCGATCATCTTCTCGATCAATTCCCTGGCGATGACATCTTCTGCAGAGCAGGACACAAAACACGTAGCTCATCACCACCAACCCGGTGCCGGCATGAAATACCCCAGCCTCAACTGTCTGCACGCCCTTTGACTCAAGATCCCACCGACGGGAATTCATTCCAGTAACGTAATTAAGAGCTTGCACAAAACTTCAGCTAACGAGGAAAGTCCTCACCACGCAGCTTGTGAAAACGGGAGATTAGATACAC